CACTTCCTGCTTTCTGTCCGCTTCCTGCTGTCTGTCCACTTCCTGCTTTCTGTCCGCTTCCTGCTGTCTGTCTGCTTCCAGCGGTTTGTCCTCTTCATGCTGTCTGTCCTCTTCCTCCTTTCTGTCCGCTTCCTGCTGTCTCTCCACTTCCTGCTTTCTGTCCGCTTCCTGCTGTCTCTCCACTTCCTGCTTTCTGTCCGCTTCCTGCTGTCTGTCTGCTTCCAGCGGTTTGTCCTCTTCATGCTGTCTGTCCTCTTCCTCCTTTCTGTCCGCTTCCTGCTGTCTCTCCACTTCCTGCTTTCTGTCCGCTTCCTGCTGTCTGTCTGCTTCCAGCGGTTTGTCCTCTTCATGCTGTCTGTCCTCTTCCTCCTTTCTGTCCGCTTCCTGCTGTCTCTCCACTTCCTGCTGCCTGTCCGCTTCCTGCTGTCTCTCCACTTCCTGGTGTTCGTCGGCTTCCTGCTGTCTGTCCGCTTCCTGCTTTCTGTCCGCTTCCTGCTGTCTGTCCGCTTCATGCTGTCTGTCCTCTTCCTGCTGTCTGTCCTCTTCCTGCTGTCTGTCCACTTCCTGCTTTCCGTCCGCTTCCTGCTGTCTGTCCACTTCCTGCTTTCTGTCCGCTTCCTGCTGTCTCTCCACTTCCCGCTGTCTGTCTGCTTTCTGCTGTCTGTCTGCTCTGCCCGTCTCTCTCTAACTTGTCTCCGTTCTGCCTTCCGCTCTCTTATGTATTGTCTTCCCTTCACGCCCTGTCTCCCTGCAGGACGTCCTAATGTGACACAGTGTGCAGCCCGTCTCACAAATGTCTCTGGACGCGCGCGGCGGAGTGGAAGGTCGAGCAGAAACTCCCCCGTGACTCCGTCTACATTCATCCACCTTTCTGTGGACGCCGCGGCTCGTGCTGTGTCACCTTTTCATAGTTGGATGTGACGAACCAGACGTCAGGGCGTGGACGTGGCGTGGACGTGGCGTGGAAGTGGGACCCTGCCGGTCATGGTGGCCGGTGGGGGGAGGGGGGGGGGGGGGGGTGTCATGTGTGTGAACTGGGATATAAGTGGACTTTTCATTAGAATGGAATTTGGGGTTCGTCTTCGTTCGGCACATGCGGGTGTTACAACGACAACTAACCCTTCAAGCCGAAAGGCCGACGATGTCACGCACGTACGAAACACAAGCAAACAGAAACGTTAAGCTAAGTCCTCGAGTCCCAAGAGAAGAACGGGGGAATACCTGGACGCCGTCACACAGCGGCCCGCCTTTCGGTCGACGCGATGACATCATTACCTAACAGCCCTGTTATGTGTCCTCCTTTTAGTCGATGCCAAAAGTGTTATGCGACCACGTCGACGTCATTACCCCGGTTACTTAATCGCATTAATGCCAAAGCCAGGAGAGTTCTCATTTTGTAATTGAAATAATGAAGCTTGATAATGGGACCATTAGGAAACGACGGCCTCGCCGTCCTCCCCCCCCCCCTCCCTCCCCGCGACGCCGTCTGTGGACTTTTGCTTTGCATCGTGGTGGAAAGTGGAAACCGACGCTGACGCGGCGAGCACTGCTGCACGCGGCGATCGGGGCGGAGGTCCTGCAGACTCCAGCCAGGGAGGAGGAATCATCAAAAGGCCGTGTACAAGGAGTGCGCGTAGCCATGGCGACGTCTCCCACTGGCGCTTTGAAGCTTTGCAAGACGACCTGTCAATCGCCGCGCAGCCCCGCCCCGAAACACACCCTCCTTTTATGGGCTGTTTGCCTGTAGGAACGCAAACTGAAATGCGTTGGGTGTGCAGGTATCTCATGTGCATGTCTGCATGTATCAATGTGACGCAGGAGGCTGCCAGATGCTGTTGTACAACACCAGATTATAATCCAGATGTTGCTTTCATTACTGCTGCTATGACTCTCTCTCTCTTTGTATACCTCTCCCATCCATCTCTCCCCGCATCTGGTCTCAGCCTCTCCGTCTCTCTCTGAACCGGTTTTTGAAGTGGACCAGTAGGCGCCTGTGTGTGTGTGTGTGTGTGTGTGTGTGTGTGTGTGTGTGCGTTTCTTCAAAGAGGCGGTCAGCTTCCCGCATTACTTTTTTATTTCCACAGATGAAAGCAGCAGACAGGTGTCACTCACCAGACCAGCTTATAAAATGACAACCTTCTGTTCCCACGTACGCAACCCGTGATTATTTCAAATGCATCACATTATCTAACACAGCTCGGCAGGGTTCAGTTGGAATAACTCGTCTACGTTGTTTTTATTTCACAAGCCTAACAGCCGGTGGGGGACGTCCAGCGGGGGTTGTCCTCTGGTCCGAAGAGTTGCTCCTGATGGCGTCCGTCATTGTGCGACCGTGTTACATGAAGGATGAAAGCGCTCCGAGCCCCCTGAAGGCGAGCAACATACGCAAGTCATTTATGATTTAGAGTTCTATGGGTGGAAGGAGGGTTTAACGTCTTTCTGCTCTGGTAAAATGCCCCAGTGTGTAAAAGAAATAAAAAGTTCTGCGCTCCGTCTGCGCGTGTGCAACCGCCAAAGGAGCTGTGAGAGTGTTACTGCAGCAGTCGGATTATCTACGTATCTGCTGGTGTTTCTGTGTGATTGTGTACTTGTTTCCTCTGTCCGTGTTGTGTTCATGAATGCACAGATATTTTCTGCTCTCACGTACTCTAATTCCAATGATTTGCGTCCTGCAGAAAGAGGGATGAAATAAACCGTCACAAACCGTCTTTCCATCCTCAACGACGCCGCTCGCTCTCTCTCTCTCTCTCTCTCTCTCTCCCCCCCTTTGTTATTCATCTCGTGTACTTTTCTTATCTTGTTTTCAATAATACATCGAGAGTCGTGCATATTTCAGTGGCGTTCGTGCGTGTCTGTGCGCGTGTACAGTGCGGACGCTGCAGGGGGAGACCCTGTGAAATGCGACTCCCCCAACCTCACATACGTCAGCTGGTCCTGATGAGAAGGGACCCCCCCACGCCTCCCCGCCCCCCCCACCCAAAGGGAGGTGTTGTTGCGATTCATCTCGCTGTCTGTGGCGCTTCTGCCCGCCTCTCAAGAGATCACCTGTCAATCAAGCGCAGGCGTGGTTTTTCTCTCCGTGTCTCTTTAGTGTGGTGAGAAGCAGACGCCGGGCTGAGGGTGGGGGCCTCGCACGCAAAACCCCGTGTGCATGAATCATAACGCCGCTTCAGATGAGTCCGCGCTCCCGTGCTGCGTTGACCATCGAGGCGGCCAGCGCTCCTCCCTTCCTGGGAGCAGATTTCAGATTCGACTTCGTCTCACACTTTATAACAGCTCCGCCACTTCAAACGACTCCCTGATTGGCTTTGGGTGACACGGCTCCGCCGCCGAGGGACGGGGGGGTGGGGTGGGGGGACACATTAACCTATTATTATTCTGCTTACGGCTCGGCGCTTGGCAGAGGCCTCGCCGTTTTTGTTTATGGTGTGACGCAGCGTGCCTGATGCTTCGTGGCGATCTGTGAGCGGCACGCCGTCGCTCAGGGGAAACTCGTGGGGGCACTCCTGACCCCACGGAGCCCTAAAAGGTCGGTGGTCCAATCGGTCCGTCGGTGCTCCGCGGGCTCGGCGAGCGCCCGCTGTTACTGATCACAACTCCAGGTCAATGCAGCTCATCAGCGCGCTCGACTCAACGTTTTCTGCCAGAGAATCCGTCCCAGGAGACTCGACGAGAAAAGAGAAACTTGAGCATATGACTGGACGGGTCACTTGTCAATCAAACAAAAAGTGTTCCAGAGGTCTGATGTGTTGCGGACAGCCCCTGGCGCATGGGATCAGGGACGTTGTGTGGATTACATTTGTTATATTCCTCTATATGTACGCGCAGAGAGATTAGGGGATTACATCAGGTCTTTGGAGGATTGGCAGTTAATGCTAACTACGTTACATAAAGAACAGATCAACTCATTCATTTAACGTACGATACAAAGTACTCGTTGTTTTATATTTGTATCGCGGCTCTTCTTAGAAACTCGGCATTCATGTTACGACACATCGAGGTTTACTTGAGTTTCCTGTGGGAACCAAAAGCAGCACCAGTTGTTTTCATTGGTTTCCTGTGGCGGTCTGGAGGGATCCACCAGGAACGCGTCCCGGGCCTCTTCTGGCTGTGCCGCCCCGCCCCGAATCTCCCCCCTCCCCCTCCCCCAGTGGCCTGGTGTTTGGGCTCCATCCTGAGCGCCCACACCCACCAGGGGCTCTCAGCCTGAGGCGCGTCCCGCTTGTCAGAGGGTCGAGGGCTTGAAGGGGCTCTCGAAGACAATTTGGGCCTCTCGTGAACACTTTCCGCCGGTCTGCGTTTCCGCAGACTTTTCCCAAGTTGAGTTCATCGGTTCATTGCAATACGACGTTGAAGATGGAGAATCTCTCTCTTCCTGCCCCCCCCCACACACACATCAAATACTGTCACGTTTCTGGCAGCTGCTTCCCGTGGAGCTCATATCTACTGTACGCACATATATGCATAATTGTTTTCTGGAACACATTATAGTGTTTGTCATCAATCATCCGGGAGCGTAAATGGACTGAATGGACGCACGAAGACGGGCGGGTTTACTGACCCCCGACCAGCGGCTCCACGGAGCGCAGAGGATGCTGTTGATGATGAGTCAAGAGTCAGAGATAAAAGGTGTACACGCTAAATCTGCCTTCCTGTAGCCCCCGTGGTGTTTTTGTACCGAAGCACTTTGTTGCCATGGCTACAGATTAGAGGAATATGACAGAAAGAGAAACGCGTGAACTAGAACAACAACAACAACAACAACAACAACAACAGCGGTTCCTTGTGTGTGTGTGTGTAACTCCAGCAGCAGATGTGCGCCGGCCGATGCGTCCTTTATTGCGTCTCCATCGTGCGCTGCGGGCCGCGTGGGGACGCGCGTAACGCCCTGGAACCTGCGCGCCCGGCTCGGCTCCTTGTTGTGTGTTTGTGTGTGTGTGTATGTGTGTCTCATAACTGCTGCCCCCCCCCCCCCCCCCGGACAAAACCCCCCTTCCCCTCCCCTCCTCACAGCCGGGCATCACGTCACGTGTCAGGACTCCCAAGTTCCTCCGTGTCAGATCGTCCACGGAGCTCCCAGCAGAGCGCGAGCCGCACGGTCCGTCCTCTCCACGCGCGCAAATCTCCGCTCCGCAGCCGCGTGGCCAACTCACCTGCGCGCGGAGGGACGGATGGACGAAGGACACGTCTTCTCTCACCCGGGATTTGTCCCTCCGGATTACCGTTTCTTTCATCCGTGACGCGAAGTGAGGAGATCTTTGGAGAGAGGGAGGAGGCGCGGGGCTGCGGGTCGGGAAGGCTGGAGGACGCGGACAAGTCGCGGATCATGCTTTTGGGAACTTCCGATTCCGTCTCGATAAGGTATTTCCTTTAAGGGTAAAGTCGTTCTGTCTGCCTGTAGCCTTTCGGTAGCAGCGGTTTTGACGTTGAATCCACTTTTTAACGGCGGGAGGAAGCGGACACGCAGGTGAACGCGCTCCATTTGGGTTCCCGTTGGCACCGTCTGAAATGTACTTTTCTACATTTTACTTCTGTTGTCCCCGAAACCCTTTAAGAGCGCGCGCAACTGTCGCGAGCGTCAGATGCGCTTTTTTTCCTTCTCTTCACACATCGACGAACGATGGAGAACAAAGCAATTTTTTTTTTATTAAAAAAGCCCTTAAAAAGAGAAAAGTCTCTCAGTCGGATTAGGATGAAAATAATTGACCTCTAAAGGTTATTCTACTTAAATATGATAATCGGGATTAGCGTGTCATTTATTGTGTGTGTGTGTGTGTGTGTTTTTTCTCTCTCTTCTTCTTCCTTTTTGCGCATTCCCTGCCCACATCGCGTGGTGTGGGCTAAAAAGCTCCAGTAGAGCCGCCACTGAGCAGTCCATCTGTTCCGGCACATAGCAACAGCAGAAACAAGTCCCCGGTATCTCATAACAACACCACAATATTCCCTGGCAATCATGGCTTTTATGTGTTTCTGACTAAACAAAAGACGATTACCCGATAAGTCCTTTCTACGGTGTTCGTTATCTCCTGTGTCATAAATGTGTATTACGCTCCAACAAGGACTCTGCTTGGCTCGTTTTGTTCGTCTTGTTTTTAAATGAGAGTCACAGAGAGAGCAAATGTTTTGAATATTGATGCTCTGCATGCAGATTGGATGCAAGTTCTTTGCTCCTGGAGTCCTGTGCGTTTATGTGGCTCGTCGCGTGACTCCTCTCCTAATTCCGTCTCTCCTCCGCTCGCGTCCTTTCCTCCCCCGTCTCCCCGCACCTCCCACCGTGCACGCCTCTCTAACCCCTCTCCCCTCCAGAGTGGCTCTGCCTGATGCTCTATCATGACTGATGGCGAGGGGAGAGTGCGCTTCCAGTACGCGGAGTGCCCGGAGGGGCAGGAGGAGGCGCGGGAGGAGGTGAGGCTTGCCATACCGACGCCCTGCAGGAAGGACGCCGCGGGTCACGGCGGTGACCCTGGAGGAGGCCGCGACGCCGACGACGAGGAGGAGGAAGAGGAGGAGGAGGAGGAGGTGGAGAGGAGGAGCAGGAGGAGGGCCGCCGGCCGGGGAGACGGCGGCGAATGGTGTCCCCAGGTTGAGGAGCGCGGAGGCCAGGAACCGGAGCCGGAAGCGGGAGCCGGGCCCCGGCCGGGAGTCCGCATCAGGGCTCCCCTCCGGGATCCGGACTGCGTGTCGGAGGAGGAGGAGCAGCAGCAGCCGTACCCCGCCCTGGCCCCCGTGGCCTTCTTCTGCCTGAAGCAAACCACCAGGCCCCGCAACTGGTGCCTCCGCCTCGTCTGTAACCCATATCCTTTCACAAGCCCCCCGCCCCCCGCGCCCCCCCCCAGGTACGTGGCTCACACGCGCTCGGGGGTCCGGCTGTGGTGCCGCTTTTCTGAAGGCTCCCCGTGTAAATGTAACTTGCTTGGTCCGATGAGAGTAGCGGAGCAGCAGCATGCTCCACACGTCTGAGGGTCGGGGGGGGGGGGGGGTCTCACTTGACATGCCCTTGTTTGGGACAAACTGCGCCTGAGTAAATGGGGAGCACATGTAGGCTCGCTGGTCTTGCTGCAGTGTCTTGAGTTCGTCTCCCCGGGGGGGTCGGAGGGTTTCTGATTCTGTTCTGTTTGACTAAAAGATGCCGGAATCCAGAGCGCGTTTGGTTCTCTCAATAGGAGCCACTAACAGAACTTGTCAATCCGTCAAAAGCACATTCACATGGACATTTTAATACTGCGCTTTTTGGGCACATTTCCCAAATGTTCACGGTGGGATCCCGACACATATTTGGAGGCACCACCGGTCAGTCTCAGCGCGGGTTCATCTTCTTTCTTGGGTCGGCGTACTTGATCTGGGTTCATCTTCAGTGTATGTTTGAAGCGCCAGTTGTTTTCTGGATGAAATTCAAAATATGTTCGAAGCAACCCGTCATTATTGAAATAGTCTTGATTAAATACGACTCCTCAGGTGACGTGATCCCGCTTCTCACGCTGCCATTTTGTGCTTAAAAAAAAAAAAAAAACTCCACATCGCGCCTGACGATGCCAAATAGTCCAAGTTAAAATTTAAACTATTGCTCCTCAGCCGAACATCCTGCCTGGATATTTCCCCCCTGTGGGATGTTTTAACACACTGTAAAAAGAGAACACAATGTGCATCCAAAGCCCCATGAAAAAAGAAGGAATTGAAGATGAACCGCTGCACTGTTCTTTTGAGGTGGGCGGCGTAAAATCAAATTCAGGCCCTGAGTCATATTTATTTGCTTCCTGTGAAGCTGGAATCTAATGTGCAGAGTATCGACAGACGAAAATAGGAAATGACCAAATGCAAACTGGTTTCTCAGACTGCGTGACGTTCCGGTACCTCGACTCCGTTTCACGAGCCGATTGGTCGTCAGCAGCTGGAGGCGGGAAAGGGGGTTTGAAGCCGCAGGCAGACACGGGTCAAGATATCGGCTGGACCGGGAACGCTTTCCCTTATCGGACGGCGGCCCGTCTGAAAGGGGCAAGGGGCGTCTCGCCAACTCTCCTTCGTGAACATCGATCCGACGCCACCTGTTGGCAAACTGCTGCTTCTATATTCGTGATGGAAAATGAAGTCGATGATACCGATAAAGGGACGTTCAGCCGCCGCGCTCTCTGGCACAACGGACGCACTTTTAACATACGAAATTAAAATATTACGCGGTTCGTGGCGGCTGCCCCTGCAGAGCAAGCGGTTCAGTCGTAGTTGGTTAGAGAATGATTTAATAAGAGGGGGGGGGGGGTTGGATTGGCAGACCGGCGCAGGGCGGTTTTGGAAATCATACAAACGCACATCTTGTTTGTTTGTTTTTAAACACAACAGAAAGTGGCGATGAGCTTTTGCCAAGCCCGTTTCCTCCCCCGCGCAGGAACCTCCCTGCACGCAGTCCATCGCGACCAACCCAAGGCCGATGTGTTGACATCTTAACGCTAAGATGCAAGCGCCGCGTTCCCCCGAGCGATTTCTTCTCACGGGTTCTACTGAAGCCGGAGACGAGAGGTGGACCACCGGCGTGAAGCGGAAGCTCCGCCGCTCATCTGCTTTTATCGGTTTCCTGGCGGTTTGGCGACACAAGGCCTGTTTGTATGAATGAATTAAAACCGCAGCCATGGTTGTGTCATAGGACCGGATCCCACCGGACAGCACAGTGTGTTTCGAGCCTCGGTGTGTGTGTGTGTGTGTGTGTGTGTCAGCATTGCATGCCTGGTGGTCCACAGTGGGCTGTGTAAATATTATTCGCAGTATAAATGCTCCGCCACTCAAGCGCACAAAGGCATGCACACAATGGTTTAAGTGTGACTCGAGAAGGGGAGTCGAAGGGACGAAGAGACTTGATCAAACGGTGATCAAACTGCTCTGAAACCAGTCGTGTTGTATGAAAGTCCACGTCCCAAATGATCTAATCGGTATTCGGGAAGCTGCTAATCACACGTGAAGATAAAAGACAATCAACAGTTGCGCACAATCAGCGTTCCTCGTAAATCATCTTTATTATGGTCGTCGTTGTTGATCAGCTGACCCACTTTCTTGCCTGCAGATTTACGTCAGAGAAAAAGAAGCGTCTTTGCTCACAATGCAATTGCAGCAGAGAGCTATCGATTAGTTTAATGACTACTTAACTCGTTGTTCCATGAAACACGATGAAAAACGCCCACAACAAGCCTCAAGATGGCCACTTCAGAACATTTTAAACGGGAGCGTTTGCTGCCAATGTGTTCAAAACGTTTTATGTCAGCTTCTCGAAACAAATTATTCTCTAGTGCCGGAGACATCTCTGCGTAAGTGCTTTTTAATTTTGCTCTGTCAAATATAATTTATTAATGCTTTTCTTTGCATTTGGCTGTTAGACATTAGAGGCTACAGAGTTACCGAAACAGAACATAATCTGTAAAAACCTTTAGAACTGATTGTTTTCTTCCGTTTTCAAGTGAAAGTGCTTCTTTTTTACACCCAGACGAGTCGCCCCCTGGTGGCCGTGACAGGGAATGCAAGTTTGAGATGCGATCGGCCTCAATCCTCAGAACTGGTTGATCAGACGGCATCCAACGTTTCCGTAAGCAACCGACGGAGGAATTTCAATTCTTTCTTCCGATTCAGGATGCAAAACAATGAATGGATGAATAGAAAGCATTCCGAAGCCGACGGAAGAGACTGACTGAGGCGGAAGCTAGCAACTAGATACCTGCATCGACACCGAGGGGGGTGTTTGGGGATGTGCGGCTACGTGGCGCGCTAACAAGCCGATTCAGACCGACTAGATGAGGTTCGGGGGGGCGGGCGAGGTTAATGCATTACAGATGAGTGGATTCATCCACTATCGCTCTCCATTAGTCATCCTATACTCTGAAAACATGGAGAGGGCCTCTTGCACTTCCTTCATAAATGAATACAGATGACTGTGAGAAGGCACGCAGACACACACACACAAACACACAGGCTTGTTAGCTAAAGATCACAGGCGTTTATTCATGATAATATTCTCATTATGGCTTTTATTTGAATGTGATTGGAGCAGGAACATCAAACATTGGTCACTTGGCGGATTGAAACCAGCTTTATGAAATCTGAGATGGATTTCTATCTTTGTCAGATGGAGCGCGAGCGATCCGAGTCAAAAAGAGCCTCATTAAAATGTAGCCTGCATACGTGTTCAGCATGATAAGAGTCCACCTCCCACTTGTCCACTTCCTCCCACAGTGATGTCATTTCAAAGGTCTCCTCACCCGGGACTGTGTCTTAAAATGATCATCGGTGCAGTGGGAGGGACCAACAGAGCTGCCTAGAATTCAGCAGGTTGTCGATTCTCTAACCGCCAATCAGACAAGCCTCCTGAGGCGTGTGTGTGTGTGTGTGTGTGTGTGTGTGTGTGTGTGTGTGGTGACTCATTGTATTTGGCCCGTGCACATGATAACAGCAGATTGGGGGTCATGACAGAGGGATTCTGCCTCTATGACGTGTTAGTTACTCTCACTCTGCAGTGTTTAATGTACCTTTCAAAGTAAAAGTATGTTTTTTAAAATCTTTTTTAAACATTGTGCAAAATGAATTTCCACCTGTTCTTCGGTAACTTGAACGATTGTTCATATTTTCAGTTTTCATAATCATTTTATAATAACTTTTTGAATGATCTCTATCATCAGGTGGATTGTTATTGCCGTTGTTCCTGAATGTATTATGTAGTCAAACATAATAAGTACACAAATTACATTTCACTGCCCTCCAGCTGTTGATTAGTGTGTGTGTGTGTGGCGGTGGCTCTGTGTGTTTGCGGGATGTTAAGGTGTGTGTGTGTGTGTGTCGGTTGCGGGATTACTTCCAGTACCGTAAGATCTTTGTTTACCCCCAGGCCCGTTGTTTACAGACTGATTTCACAAAATGATGCGTGTGTGTGTAAACGCGGGGTGTGCACGTGGAGTGTGTACGTGTGGTCAGTTTAGCCAGTGACCTTTTCCCGCCCCGGGGGGGGGGGGCAGCCAATCACAGGAGGGCTGTGGAGACGGCGTTCAGCCAATCACAGGAAAACTGCCACCTCTCTGCTCTCTCCTGCTCCATTGTGCCTTTTTTATTATCTTTCTCTGTTGATGGTTACCGCAGTAAAGAGCTTGCTTGTCATCAAGAACAACACAACTACTCCCCATGACTCCCCTTGCCTCCCCCGTCTCTCTCCATCTCTCTCTCTCTCTCCAAAAAAAGCTTCTGCTGACTAACGTGAGCTCTTTATTTGTTCCTCTTTCCTCCTTCACGCGTTCCTTTGTCTATTCGGCAGCTTTACTGCAGTGTTAACCAATGCTTTTCCTGCACACGCACACAAACACACATACACACGCAGACACACACACACACACACGCACGCACACTGATGCTCAGTTTTTTTAATCTTTTATAATGAGACCACTTGGTGAAATAAATTGTCAGGGTGTTTCTTTCTCTCTCGGTGTGTCAGCGCTTAACTCGGATTGACTCCAAGCCTCTATTGATTTATGGGCTTGAGCGAGTGTGTGTGTGTGTGTGTGTGTGTGTGTGTGTGTGTGTTGGTGTGTGTTGTTGCGTGACGTTCCGGGGGTCAATTGGTTGCTCTTTAGGGGACTGGAGCTCAATTAAGGTGGATTTCTTCTGGCTCACGGTTGTAAAAGGACCAGAGAGTCAGCAGGTCATCAACACCGAGCTGCCCCGGATTCACCGGCTCGACCACACACACACACACACACACACACACACACACACACACACACACACACACACACACACGATAGGAATCCTCAGGATGTGAGAAATAACCCGA